GTGGTGCTGAGGATCGAACCCCAGCAGCATGCATGCCAGGCGAGCACGCTATGGCTTAAGCCACATCCTCAGCCCCTAAATGGAGTATTAAATTTGATTTTCATATGTAGAACAATCCTTGCATTATGAGAATATATCTTTCTTGGCTATGGTATATTATGCTCTAAGTATGCTGCTGAATTCAGTGTGCTAGTATTTGGTTGGGCATTTTTTCATCACACAAATATGCCCAAATAATTTTTTAACACAGGTGCAAAAATAATTCAATGGAGGAATGGTAGTCATTTAACAAGTGGTACTGGAATAACTGGAAAATCATAGGCCAAAAAAATTAACTTCAATCTAAATCTCACACCGTACAGCACAAATTAAACTCAAAATGGCCACAGACTTCGGGCTGGGGTTGTGGTTCAGTGGTAGCATGAGTGAGGCACTGGGTTCGATCCTTACCACCACATAAAAAATAAAATAAAGATATTTGTCCACCTATAACTACAAAATAAAATATTTTAAAAAATGGCCACAGACTTAAATGTTAAAGATAAAACTATAAAACTTAGGAAAAAATTAGGATATTGCCCTCAGCATCTAGACTAAGAGTTCTTAGATTCAGTACCAAAAACACAATCTATAGAAGGAATACATTTATATACTGGGATTTATAAAAATTATTTAGTTCTGCAAAAGACCCTGTGAAGAGGAAGAAAAGACAAGCTACAGAGTGGAAGAAACTATCATTTGCAAACCACATATCCAATAAAGGACTGGTATCTAGAATATATTTAAAGAACTCTCAAAACTCAACAGTAGAAAAATAAATTATCCAAAATGGGTAAAAGATAAAAAGAGATACCTCTGCACTCCCATGTTTACTGTAGCACTATTCACAATAGCCAAGAAATATAAACAACCTAAGTACCCACTGACTGATGAATGTATAAAGAAAATGTAGTACATACACACAAAGTAACACAGTGTTCAACAACATGCATGGACCTGGAGGTCATTAAGTTAAGTACCAGGCACAGAAAGATCTTTAGCATATGACCTTACTCATTATTTGTGATTTAAAACAGCTGATCTCAGAAGTTTCAAGTAGAATGTTGGTTACTAGAGGTTGAGGAGAGTAGAGGGGAAGGAGAGATGGGGAGAGGCTGATCCATAGGTATAAGGTAAAGTTAGATGCCAGCAAGAAGTCCTGGCGTGTCAGTGCACAGTAGGGTAACTATGGATAAAACCTCCAAGTGAGGATTTGGAATGTTTTGACCATAAAGATGTGATAAATGAAGAGAAAAATGTTTGTCCTTATTTGAACATTACAGAATGCATAGATGTATCAAAACATCTTCTATAAATATGCATGACTTTCATGTATCAGTTTCCTCTCTCCCTCCATCCCCCTTGCCCCCAGTACCAGGGCATTTAACCACTGAGCCACACCTCAGCCCTTTTTAATTTGAGACAGGGTCTCACTAAGTTACTTAGTGCTGAGTTGCTGAGGTTACTTTGAACTTGCAATCCTCCTGCCTCAGCCTCCTGAACTATAGGGATTACAGGATTCCACCACTGTGCCCAGCCTCATATATCAATTTTAAATAAATAAAATCATAATGAGATATCACTATATACCTATCAGGATGACTAAAACAAAAAACTGTACCACCACCAAAGGCTGACAAGGATCACACATACATTGCTGGTGGGAATGTAAAATGTTACAGATGCTGTAGAAAGTAATTTGGTATTTTTTTTTTTTTTAATATAAACATGCAGGGGTGGGGACGTAGCTCAGGGGCCAAGTGCTTGCCTAGCACGCACCAAGCCTTGGGTTCAATTCCCAGTTCAACAAGAACTACCCTCCAAAAAGCATGCAGCTATCAAATGATGCAGAAATTGCACTCCCAGGAATTTATAGCAGAGAAACATTTTGGAACAATACTCAACAATAAAAAGAAACAAACAACCTGCAGAGCAATCTAGATGAATATCCAGATAACAGGCAGAATAAAAAATGCCAACTCCAAAAGGTATGATTTCCTTAATGTAACATTCTTTTCTTTTTTTAAATCTCTTTGTTAGTTTTTAAAAATTAATTAATTATTTTACAGTGCAATACATTTTGACATACTGAACACAAATGAAGCACAACTCATTCCTCTGGCTGTACATGGGTGCAGAGTCACTCTAGTAGTGTAATCATACATGTACATAGGGTAATAATGTCTGCCTCATTCTACCGTTCTTCCCATCCCCCAAAACCCACCCCTCCCCTCACTCCCCTCTACAATCTAAAGTTCTTCATTATTCCCTATTCCCCCACCCCACCTTGGATCAGCATCCACTTATCAGAGAAAACTTATTAGTTGTTGATGAACCTTTATTTTATTTATTTATTTATATGCAGTACCGAGAATCGAAGTCAGTGCTTCACACATGCTAGGCAAGCACTCTACCATGGAGCCATGAGCCCAGCCCACAGTATAATATTCTTAAATGACAAAAATATAGAAATGAAGAATAGATTAGTGGTTGTTATTGTTAGGGAGAATTGGGAGGAGAGAAAAGGGTGTCCTTAAAAAAGAACAACATGAGGGATCCTTGTGGTGATAAAGCATAGATTATATTGATGGCAAGAACCTAATTATAGGGGCTAGGGTTGCAGCTCAATGGAAGAACGCTTACCTACCATGTGTGAGGCACTAGGTTCAATTCTCAGCACCACATACAAATAAATAAAATAAAGTTCTATCAACAACAACAACAAAAAAAACATCTAGTTATATACTACAGAACTGTAAGATGTTACCAATGGATAGATGGAACACAGTATCCATTATTTCTTGCAACTATATGTGAATCAATAATTACCTCAAAATGCAAAGTTTGTTTTCTTGTGGTGCTGTGATTAAACCCAGGGCCTCACCAATGTCAATGGTGGCAAGTCCTCAACCACCCAGCTACAACCCCAGCTCTCAAAATACAAACTTTAACTTAAAAAGTCCATCAGGAGGTCTGGGGATATAGCTCAGTGGTAGAGCACTTGTCTACCATTAGCAATGGTTTGAGGCCCTGGGTTCAATTTCCAGCAAAATACGCGCGTGTGCGCGCGCACACACACACACACACACACACACACACACACACAAAGTCAATCAGACTTTTTCATCTTAAATCACTTCAAAATTCATCAATAATTTCAATAATTGCTATAGATTTAGGCAAAACTGTATTAATACTGGACAAAGGAGTTGACTGAAGAGCCTATTAAATCCAATTTAAAGACAAAATTAAACTAGGAATTGATTTTTTCTTTTCTTTTTTTTTTTTTTGTATTGGGAAACACTCTACCACCGAGCCATATCCCTAGATGTTTTATTTTGAGTCGAAGTTTCACTAAGTTGCTTAGAGCCTCAAAGTTTCACTAAGTTGCTAAGGCTGGCCTCCACATCTGGCTAATTTTAGGTGATTTTTAAAGACAAAAATATCAATAAAAACTTCCCACTAAAAATAGAGATTAAATAATAAAATAAAATAAAAATTAGGAAAAAAGAAAGAAAGAAAAATAAAGATTAGGTTCTATACCAAAGTCTCTAAATACTTATCACAAGACTTAGGTATCAAGACTTCTATTTCAAACTCACTAAAACATCCTGATTATTACTCATTTTCTAGAAGGAGGCATTCCTGAGTAATAACCAAAAAACTCATTCCAGTTTTGTAGGAAACAATGAGCTACACATTAATATACTCTCTCTGAGTCACATATATAAATTAATCACATGTAAATCTGGTCAATGTGACTTAATTTCCCAGAGTATCATTTCTCCTTCATTCCACCCACAGTAATTACCATCAGCATTATACAGTAATTGTACTTACTTGACAATTGTAAAGTTCTTTTAGAAGAGCTAAGGATTTAATGGACTTAGATCGGCAAATTTCTTCTTCTGTAAATTTCTGGATATTTGGATGAACCTTTTGAGTCTGACCCAAACGCAAAAATCCTATTTGAAACTTGGCTAACTTCAAAAGTATATTGTCAACAGCAGAGTGTGTATAGCTGGTCAATAAAACACTAAAACCACAGGCATAGAGGATTCTTACCTAATACAGGATAAGAAAGAAAATAAGCATTACTTTTACATTTCAGATAATTTTAAAAAAATATTTATTTTTTTAGTTGTAGGTGGACACAATATCTTTATTTTATTTATTTTTATGTGGTGCTGAGGATCGAACCCAAGGCCTCACATGTGCTAGGCAAGTACACTACCACTGAGCCACAAACCCAGCCCCCATTTCAGGTAATTTTTAACATGCTTATATTTTTTACATAGAATTACAAAGCTCAATAGGAAGTATATGTAAGAACTAAGCCAAGTAACTTAAAAAAATTATAAGGCCAAAATGTTTTCAAAAATTATATGGCATTATTACTGTACGTTATTAATAATATAACTGATAATTGAATACATGTAAACTTTTAATTGTATGTGGCACAAGTGTTTCAACCAATAAATATCTGCTGCCATCATTGATTATTACCCTACAACTGCTTAGAAAATTAATGATATGAAAAAAATTCAAGAAAATCGATTTCAATCATTTCTGCATGACTTACCATTTGTAAAGGAAAAGGAAAACATAGTGACACATATCACACACCAACAGAAAAAGAACTTAAAAAATTCAAAATGCAAGAAATCCAAAACAGGATTCTATTTATAATTCAGCTCTATTATTTCTCATGTCATTCTAAAAAGTTGATTTGAAATAAATATTCTGAATTAAAATTCAGCCATTTTAATATCAAATAGAATATCTTCTCAATTGAGAAGCTGATATAAATATTTAGGTTCTAAGCAAAATAATAATAACCTTACGAGAGTACATATTGTAGTTGTTTTTCCTGTCCCAGGCATACCCACAATGAGGGTATAGTCTTTTGAAAGAAGAACCTTTTTCATTGCTTGTCTCTGAGGCTTATTCAATCCTACATTTAAAATAAAAAAGTAACAAGAAAAAGAGTATTAAATTTCAGGGAATAAATTCACTAATTTAGAAGAAAAGCAATCTCAATCTGAATTTTCTAAGATATGTCTTTTCAAAGTTAAAAAAATATATAAATTATGGTGATTTTTCTTTTTTTTTCTGTTTGGTACCAGGGATTGAACCCAGAGAGGCTTAACCACTGAGCCACATATCTAGCCCTTTCTGAGACAGGGTCTCACTAAGTTCCTTAGAGCTTTGCAAAATTGCTGAGGTTGACCTTGAACTTGTGGTCCTCCTACCTCAGCCTCCCCAGTCATTAGGATCACAGGTGTGCTCCACTACACCCAGCTTTATTATGGCGATTTTTAAGGATGTATATAAACTACTTCCAAAAAGCCCCTATGTAAATATTAGAATTCCTAGTCTAATCAATTAAGAAATGAGACTATTTCTTGGTTCTTGGTGTAAGTAGAATCAAGAAAAATTAACCAAAGTGCTGATAATAGCATACCCTTTAGAATGTTGGCAACTGTATCCTTTGCATCACGTGGAAGAACAGAGCTGAGGTAGGGTATAAACTGAGGTTCACGAAAGTCAATGATTAAATCTCGAAGTTTTTTGCTGAAAAGGCGATACATACTTTTAGTAATATTCCTTAGAAAGGTGGGGAGAAATTCAGATTCATTCATCATTACAAACCTGGCATTAGTGTTCTCCATCAATTTAGAGAGATTTCCTAACGGGGTATCTATATCACAATTTTTTTCTTCCTGGTCTATTCTGAACAGAGTTGACTCTGCAAGCACTGACAAGTTCCTAAAACAGCAGAACAAACATGCATGAAAGTTCTTCATTTTCCCGTGGTCTATATAAGAGATATACTGCTATCTGCTAAAAGAGTTGATAAGTTAAAATAACTATTAAAATGGCTAACATAACAACAACAAATGGCCATAATCCCTCATTCACACTTGCCAGTCAAAGACAACATGAGGACATAATTGGTAGGAAAGCAGAGAAAGGGAGGGTACAAGGTATCAAGGTCAAAGCAATTAAGAACCAGGAACCTGTAACATTTGTTGAAAATCCATTTGACCCTGCATTCTAACAGGAATTCACCATCCCTAGAAGGTTCTGAGCACCTGGCTCCTCCCTCCTCCAGCCTGAAGAACAGGTCTCCTCCTCCCACTCCTCTATCTGCTCCTTAAACCCTGCTATGGCCTACAACCCCTTCCTTCCCTAGCCTACAGTGCTGCTCGCTCTTAGGATTTCCTTATGGTCCCAGGTCAACATCTTCTAGCCTATCCAAATTTCAGGTTTGAATATTTGCAGGCACCAAGATCCCTTTACCTGGCTAAAACCCAGGCCACAAAAGTTCAATATATTTAAAATGGAACTCCTCATTCTTGTTGAACCTGAGCCTCTCCTCTTAGTGGGATCTCAGTTAACAGCACTTGAATCCTTTCCTCTCCCCTCACCCTCTTTTCAGCCCCCATACCTAATCAGCACCTGACTCCCTGACAAACTTACTTTCAAGTTCATCAAAGTCACTATATCAGGTCAATGCTACTTCAATCACAGCTAACCTGGGTCACTACAATACCTTCCTGGTTTCTCTTTCATTTTGCCTCTGTTAATTAATTCAAATCTCCCACAAGTAAATGCAAGACCAATTACCACGTATTCTTTAAAACCCTTCAGTAGAAGCAGGTCGTGGTGGTGCATATCTGTAACCCCAGCAACTCTGGAGGCTGACAGGAAGATCACAAGTTAAAAACCAGCCTCAGCAATTTAGTGAGGTCCTAAGGAACTTAACAGATCATGTCTCAAAAAAAAAAAAAATCAAAAAGAGGGATGGGAATATAGCTCAGTTGGTAGAGTGCTTGCCTTGCATGCACAAAGTCCTGGGTTCAATCCCCAACACCAACTCAATAAGACCCCCTCTCTAATAAAATACAAAATAGGGCTGGGGATGTGGCTCAGTCATTAAGCGCCCCAGAGTTCAATCCCTAGTATCCAAAAACAAAACAAAAACAAATGAAATACTGATACATGCTACAAAATGAAGATGAATCTGAAAATCAATATGCTAATTGACAAAAAAAAGTCACATAAGATCACAATAGCTGGGCCCAGTGGTGTATACCTGTAATCCCGGTGGCTCAGGAGGCTAAGGCAGGAGGAATGCAAGTTCAAAGCCAGCCTCAGCAATGGTGGGGCACTAAGAACTCAGTGAGACCCTGTCTCTTCATAAAATACAAAAGAGGACTGGGGATATGGCTCAGTGGTCGAGTGCCCCTGAGTTCAAAACCCAGTACCAAAAAAAAAAAAAGGACCACATTATCTTTAAATGTTCATGAGAGGCCAATTTATAATAAACTAGTAGTTGCCTGGGCAGAGGGAACTGAAGGGAAGTAAAGGTGCGGGTGACTGCTGAAATTTCTTTTGGGGGTTATGAAAATATTCTGAAATTGATTGTGGTGATGGTTGTACAACTCTTTTTGTTTTTTTCCTGGCATTACTGGGTATTGAACTAGGCAAGCATTCTACCACAAAGTAACATCCTCAGTCTTTTAAAATTTTGAGATGGAGTCTTGCCAAGTTGCTGAGGCTAACCTGGAACTTAAGACCCTCCTGCCTCATCCTCCCAAGTAGCTAGGATTAGAGGCCTAAACCAATGTGCCCAGCTATGACTCTTTGAATATATGAAAAACCATGAAAATTGTACACTTTAAATGCATGATTTGTATGATACATGAAATACCTATCAATAAGGCTATTATCAAAAATGTACTATTTCATTACCTGTCTAATAAACAAGTTACTGTTGTCATGTTAATCTCCTTCACATATCCCCTAGACAAAGCAAACAGTGTTCTCTCTTCTCCACTTAAAATAATTCTGTCACCTGCCATTAGGTTTGTGACAGGCATAGAACCATTTTTACGCTGGAAATGATGTAAATACTGTCCACCACAAACTCTCTTTACATGTTCTGTTCTAATCAGGTTTCCAATGCAGTTGCCACTCTCCTCCCTATGAAAGAAAAAGAAAAGGCTTCCATTTATATCAGGTTAAGTAGTATGTTTGTATTTTTCTACAATTTACTTCATTTGGCGTCTGAAAACTAATGCTGAGTCTGTCCTTTTTACATTTTTCACAATCTACATTAAAGTGATAGAAACGCTAAACAAACATTGCCTCCATTTTTTTAAAAACCTTTTTTGTTGTTTATTGTTTATGTGGTGATGGGGATTGAACCCAGGGCCTCATGCATGCCAGGCAAGTGCTTTACCAATGAGCTATCTCCCCAGCCCTTCCATTTATTTATTTTTTTTAACTAACTTCATTTCATTGGTTTACTTTTTATATGATGCTGAGGATCAAACCCAGTGCTGCACACGTGCTAGGCAAGGGCTCTACCACTGAGCCACAACCCCAACCCGCTTCTTTTTGTTTTTTTGTTTTGTTTTTGTGGTGCTGGGGATTGAACCCAGGGCCTTGTGCATGCCAGGCAAGCACTCTAGCCACTGAGATATACACCCAGCCCCATTTGTTTCTAAGTGATCAATCACCTCTCCTTGTTCCACCCACAGTCTGGGATATCTGAACAGGGTGTTTATTGGCACATGGATCCTTGATGGATAGATCAATACCCCCACATCCTGTGCTGATAAATGTAACATTACAGAAGACAAACCATAATAATCTCCTAAACTAGATGTGAAGAAAATAATAACCTATTTCTTTAGTGTTTATAAAAGGATTTAAAATACTATTATTAAAATAATGATAAGTACCGGGCATGGTGGTGCACACCTGTAATTCCAGTGACTCAAGAAGCTGAGACAGGAGGATCCCAAGTTCAAGACCAGCCTCAGCAACTTTGTAAGACCCTGTCTCAAAAATAAAAATAAAAAAATAAAAAAAAAAAAAAGAAAGTGGGGGAAGGGGGACTGGGAATGTGGCTCAGTAGTTAGGAGTTGGGTTCAATCCCCAGTACCCAAAATAAATATAAAATGACAAGCAAGTTGTCATAATTACACTACTTCTAATAAATAAGTATTCAGCATTTACAACCTCTCAGACATTACTATTAAATACTATACAATCTCAGAGGCAAATTGTTGGCATGTGTGCTTGACATATTTGTTATATAACCTACAACATGAACTTTCTCCACTGTAATGTTTTCTAAATTAAAGCCTAATATTAGGGACACACAGATCCAATTATTTCTAAAGTCACACTATTATCACCTTATTCTAGTAAAACAAAACTGGAATTAATGCAACTAAATTTTACTTACAGAAAAATACTATGTGAAGGTATAAAAATCCTAATAATTTATCTTTTTTTAATATTTATCTTTTATTTGTAGTTAGACATAATACCTTTATTTTATGTATTCATTTTTTATGTGGTGCTAAGGATCAAACCCAGGGCCCCACACATGCTAGGCAAGTGCTCTGCCACTGAGCTACAGCCCCAGCCTCCAATAATTTATCTTTCATAAGTGGATGCCACAAGGAAAATGAGATAGACCTTCAGAAAATGTGAATCTGTCTCAAAATAGAAAATATACATTTATAAAACACTACTTTTTGAAAACTTAAATAAACAGAACATGGTGTCTCAGGCCCATAATCCCAGGTACTCAGAAGGCAGGGGCAAGAGGATTGAGAGATCAAGGCTGGCCAAGGTAATATGGTGAGACCCAGTCTAAAAACAAAAACAAAAAAAGTAAAAAAGCAGTATGCACTCTACCAATATGTAACAATTCACCTTAAGACATACTCAAGTTTCTATGGATATCACTGATGAAAAAGAATTAACAAATGATTTTAAAAATTTCTTTCCAGATATCACAAATATATAATCTCATAACACAGGAGGCTGAAGCAAAAAAGATCTCAAGTTCAAAGCCAGCCTAAGCAATTTAGGATCTAAGCAACTTAGTGAGACCCTATTTCTAAATAAAATATAAAAAGTCTGGAAATGAGGCATAAATAAATAAATCATAATTTTTTTAAAATTTGTATTTATTTTTTGGTACTGAGGATTGAACCCAGGGGTGCTTTACCACTGAGCTACATCCCCACTCCCTTTTTTTAAAAAATATTTTTTGTAGTTATAGATGGATACAATATCTTATTTATTCATCTTTATGTGGTGCTGAGGATGGAATCCACAACCTCACACATGCTAAGCAAGCATTCTACCCCTGAGCCACAACCCCAGCCCATCCCCACTCCTTTTGATTCTTTTATTTTGAGGTAGGGCCTTGCTAAGTTGCTTAGGGCCAGTCTTGAACTTGGTGTCCTGCTTTGGCCAACCAAGTTCCTGGGATTACAGGTGTGTGCTATTGAAAATATATGACTGTGCTAGAGGTGTACCTCAGTGGTAGAGCACTTGCCACCTAGCACGTGGGAGGCCTTGTGTTTAATCTCAGTATCCCCAACCCAAAAACAGAGTTGATATTAGTATCTATTCATATACACAGAAAACTAACAATGATTACAGCACATAGCACATGCAGAAATGATGTTCTACTTAGGAACAACTCATTGACATCTGGAGTTTTCATGAACAAATGAAATCACATATCTTTAACATGCAATATAACCTGTATGTGTCATGAATTCCACATCCCACACAAGCTAATACAAATTAATGACACTTTACTCACATGGACCACTTACATTTCTGAAGCAGGCTTTAACCAGATATTTTGGTGATTCTTTCTGTTATCTTTTGATTGTGACTCCAGGGTTAACATTAGATACCAAAGGCTGAAATACTCTAAGTGTGTGAGTTTCAGATGACAAGTTTCTTCTTGAATTTTGGACAGCATAACCACTGGGACTAAATTTTCATCCATCTGTTGTTCAACTGCTCTAAATACAAAGTTCCAAGTTAGAGTTGTATATATAACATTTTACTAGTTGGCTATAAAATGAGGTTTTTCTAAAATAAGTATACAAATGTAATAACCACCATAACTCATAAACACAGCCCCTAATTTTCGTTAAAAGTCATTTGAATATTTGATAAAACGTGGCTTTTTTTGGGGGGTGGGGGTACTGGGGGTTGCACCAACAGGTGATTTGCCATGAGCTACATCTCTAGCCCCTTTTAAAGTTTTGAGGTTTGCTAAATTGCCAAGGAAGGTCTTGAACTTGCAATCCTCCTGCCTCAGCCTGCCAAGTTGCTGGGATTATAGGTGAGTCACCACACCCAGCTGACATGCGGTTGTTCACAAAACAACATGTTTAAGATATTGATTACTGCATTATTTTTCCTTCAATGATCATCCCCAAACAACAAAGCCAAGTTTGGTATACTCCAGTCTTCATAAGTTTTGGCTTTTTTTCCAACTGCGTTTCTTGAAACCATAAAAATTGTACACCCAGCTCTGTGACACAAGGAAGTCAATTTAAAACTATGGAAAATCATTTATAGATTCAATTTTCCTTACTACTGAATTAAAACATGTCCACATAGAAACAAATATATTAAAGGACAGCATACAAAAGATTGAGAGTAAAACGAAAGATTTCAAATAAACTGGGCTGTACTATAGTCCCACACATCCCACACAGTACTCTGTCATTAAGGGACATATTGACACAATACTTTTTAAACTATTTTTTTAGTGCATAGTTCTATACTTTATTTCTTTTAATTAATTTACTTATTCTAATTAAGTACATATGACAGCAGAATGCATTTTGATTCATTATACACAATTGCAGCACAACTTTTCATTTCTGTGGTTGTACATGATGTAGTATCACACTATATACAGTCATACATGTACCCAGGGTAATGATGTCCATCTCATTCCACCATCTTTCTAGCCCCCATGCTCCCTTCCACCCCCTCCTTCCCCTTTGCCCAATAAAAGTTCCTCCATTTTTCCCATGCCCCTGTCATTATGGATCAGCATCCACTTATCAGAGAGGACATTTGGCCTTTGAATTTTTGGAACTGGCATTTCGCTTAGCATGATATTCTCCAACTCCATCCATTTACCTGCAAATGCCATAATTTTATTTTCTTTTAATGATATATATATAAAATGTAATAATATATATAATATAAAGAAACTGTGATATATATCATAGTTTCTTTATTCATTAATTTATTGAAGGGCATCTAGGTTGCTTCCACAATTTAGCTATTGTGAACTGAGCTGCTATAAACATTGATGTGGCTGCATTACTATAGTATGCTGCTTTTAACTCCTTTGGTTATAGACTGAGGAGTGGGATATCCAAATAGTCAAATAGTGGTTCCTTTCCAAGTTTTCTAAGGAATCTCCATACTGCTTTCCAGAGTGGCTGCACCAATCTGCAGTCCTACCAGCAATGTATGAGTGTACCTTTTCCCCCAAATCCTCGCCAACACTTATTATTGTTTGTATTCTTTATAACTGCCATTCTGACTGGAGTGAGATGAAATCTTAGAGTAGCTTTGATTTGCATTTCTCTAATTACTAGAGATGTTGAACATTTTTTCATATATTTGTTGATCAATTGTCTATCTTAAAATACTTTTAAAGTTCATACTTCATATAAACTTTCAGGCTGCATTAGAACTTTGGCTCTGATTTGACCTTGTTTTTTAGTCTATATTTACATCTAACTACTTCTTTATGTGCTTCAAATTTTCAGCTAGCCTATGAAGGCTCACATGGCTGTTCAAATAACAGCTAATAAACTTACCATTTATACAAAAATAACCATATACAAACAGTACAGGCCCATTCACTGGGTCATGCCAAACTATCTATCTGGAAAAACTGGTTTCCTTGTGTGCAACTACAAAAGACCTCAGATTAAAATAGCAGTTAAGAGGGGATATGGCTCAAGCAGTAGCACGCTCGCCTGGCATGAATGGGGCGCTGGGTTCGATCCTCAGCACCACATACAAATAAAATAAAAATGTTGTGTCCATTGAAAACTAAAAAATAAATATAAAAAAATTCTCTCTCTCTCTCTAAAAAAAAAAAAGAAAAGAAAGAAAGAAATGGATGCCTTCTTGAACTATCTTTTAAGATAACTTAGGCCCATGCCCATAATCCCAGACTGAGGGAAGAGGATCACAAATTCAAAGCCACCCTACACAACCTTAGCAAGATTTTGTTTCAAAATAAAAAATAAAAGGGGCTGGAGATGTAGCTCAATAGGTTAGATTCCCCATGTTGTCAAAGAACAAAAGTATTTGTACTTAATATTGTACTAAAAATGAATATTCTTATATCTGTCTTAACCAGATTCCATAAGTCCTAAAATTATTTCATTTCTTTCTTTTTTTAAAAAAGAGAGAGAGAGAGAGAGAGAGAGAGAGAGAGAGAGAGAGAAATTTTTAATATTTATTTTTTAGTTTTCGGAAGACACAACATCTTTGTTTGTATGTGGTGTTGAGGATCGAACCCGGGCCGCATGCATGCCAGGTGAGCGCGCTACCGCTTGAGCCACATCCCCAGCCCAAATTATTTCATTTCAGAAACTACACACAGAAAGATTAAAACATTCAGTTCTGGAAGAAGTTTAAAAAGCACTGTATTATTTACTGAGAAAAATGGGCTTGTCAGGAAACAAACTTTTTTTCCCCTTCATTTTAGAGATACAATACATAAAGGAAAATATGAAATAAAAATAATTAAAATGAAGTCATCTATTGTGTGCATGTTCAAATACGTAACAACAAATTCCATCAATATGTACAACTATAATGTACCAATAAAAAATATGGATAAAATTAAACAACAACAAAAAAATGAAATCATCAATACCAGACCACCTACCAATACTAAGTCATCTTGAGTTCAGTTCATTTTCAACTTGAAATACTGCTTTCTGAAAATAGTGTTTACCTGCTATAAAGAGCACAGTTTCCCACTTGTGAACAATATTTACAGGTTTTCTCTTCCTCAGTTATTTGTGGCAAAAAAGTGAGCTGTGTCTTCTCCTTTCCAGGAGATTTGCTAATACGATGCAGCAAAAAAAATGCCATTTGGTTTCTTAGCTTTAATAATTCTATGGGAGAAAAAAAAAAAGTTAAGTGTCTTTATCACACCCTTTCCATTGTATCAGTAAAAGTTTCAGATTTAACAACATAAAATAACATTCACAGTTTCTGCTATACGAGAATAAGCACTGTTGGTTATAGTTTGTTATGTCTCCTTCAAATTTTTAGTCACTTGATAAGTTCTTGAAACAACTAATCTCATAACTAATAAGACTTGAACCCTGCGTTTTATTAAGTGAATGCTGAAGATAAAATTATCTAGAATATCTCCAGTATAAGAACTTCAAGATAAACTTTTGTATTAAAAAAAAAAACAAACTTAAAAGGTTAATAATTTTCAACTACAGAGCATATTATTAAAATTATCTTTTAAAAATACCACAACTACAAATTACAACCTATAGTTGGCATGATAAGTATGTGAGTACACTGTCAAGTGTAAAACTATATCACCAAAAATTGAAGGGAGGGAAGGGGCCAGAGAAGTAAAACTGAAAGCAAACAGCTCAACCTCTTTTATCTAGATGGTTAGCAGGCACAGGGTACATCTGCCCAGTCTTGAGGTAGAGAAGTAAGCCAGCATCTGGATCAGCTCTTCTCTCTTGGCTTAGCAGCGTGTACAGAACAACCTGTGCAAGACAGGTTGTGAAACAATGAGAATTCTGTTACACAAAACTATAAATTTCTACCATCATTTCTCTACATCATCTTATAGCCAACACATAATTTTAAAATCTAAAGGTCAATGAAAGTGGGAGTGGTGGCAATTGCCCAAAATCCTAGCTACAGAGAGCCTGAGGCAGGAGGATCTCAAGTTTCAAAGCTAGCCTGGGCAACCTAACAAGGCCCTCAGCAACTTAACTAAGCTGGGTGGTGGTGCATGCCTATAATCCCAGGGGTTTGGGAGGCTAAGGCAGGAGGATCATGAGTTCAAAGCCAGCCTCAGTAAATAGTGAGGCCCTAAGCAACCCAGTGAAACCCTGTATCAAAATAAAGTACAAAAAAGGGCTGGGGATGTGGCAGCACTGGGTTCGATTCTCAGCACCACATAAGAATAAATTTAAAAAATAAGGATATTGTGTCCATCTACAACTAAAAAAAAATTTTTTAAATGGTAGGGGGTGGGCTGGGGATGTATCTCAGTGGTTAAGTGCCCATGAGTTCAATCCCTATGATCAAAAAAAAAATTGAAAATAGAAAGGGGGAGCTCCAGTGGCGCAATCGGTTAGCGCACGGTACTTATAAGAAAATAGAAAGGGTTTGGGATGTAGCTCAGTGGTAGAGCACCCCTGGATTCAAACCTCAGTATCAAAAAAAAATAAAATAAATAGTTCCATGATAATTAGGTTTAGAAAAAAAATGAGTTAAACCTAGCTAAGACAAACTGTATTACTTTATAATTCCTCAGAACTTTTTTTTTTATTCTTAAGTTTTAGGTGGACACAATATCTTTATTTTACATTTACGTGGTGCTGAGGATCGAACCCAGTGCCTCGTGCATGCTAGGCGAGCACTCTACCACTGAGCCACAACCCCAGCCCCTTCTCAGAACTTTTAATAGGCTAATACACATGGTAAGTTATCCAAATACCCTTGGTTTCCACAACTTATATGAATAAGGAATTACTGTTTTTCAGAAATATATTTAGAATGGTAATTTGGCAGCATAAATTTGACATCACTGGCCTATATATTTAGCTCTTTTATTACTTTGCCAGATACAGTTTTCTACGGCACTTGTATATATTGACAAAACAAATTGAGTACTCCAATGCATCACAAATTAAAAGTTATTACATGAAACACAAACATAACCTAAACTGAACCAAAATATATAAAGCAGTCTACATGTTTAAATAAACATTCAGTTGTGCATAGTGGCATATGTCTATAATCCCAGCTATTAGGAAGGCTGATGCAGGAGGATTCCAAATTTGAGGCCAGATTCAACAACTTAGTGAGATCCTGTCTAAAAATGAAATTTTAAAAAGTGCTGGGGATATAGCTCAGAGGAATAATGCTCCTGAGTTCAATCCCCAAATAATCAATCAAACAATCAATCAATTAACATTTAATTTTCTTACAATTTATACCTGACTACGGTGTTCAATAGAATTGGATTCTTTGCCGGTTTTAAGTTCCAATGGCATTATTTTATATTTTGTTTTAGAACCTTGATGTATTTTCACACCAACTGTAACATCTATTTTGCCCTTCAATCCAAACCTAGGGGACCAAATGCTTTCTTCAATATCCAGTGAGTTTATTACTTCAATGTTTCGTGTTGGGTTATTATTACTACCATCACTTGGCCTAAAAAAAGAAACACAAAAACAATTAGGAGACAGCTTACTTCACGCATGCTGGCACTGACTATTACACAGAAATGACAAGGGGATGGAAAATAATCTACATATCTTTTTTTTTTTTTTTTTTTTAAGTGTAGTTTGACAGAATACCTTTATTTTATTTATTTATTTTTATGTGGTGTTGAGGATTGCACATGCTAGACAAGCGCTCTACCGCTGAGCACAACCCCAGTAATCTACATATCTTTATCCAAGTGTCACCCTTGAACCAGTAGCATCAGCATTACCTGGAAACTTGTTATAAATGCAAAATAACTGGTCCCACTCCAACTGACTCATTACAGAACCAGCAAACTATTTAACAAATTCTCCAAGTGATTCTGATGTATTCTTCAGTTTACAGACCTCTGTTCTACAGGTATCATTTAGCCATTCTTAATATTTATTTATTGATAATTGGGCACAATATCTTTATTTATTTATTTTTTATGTGGTGCTGAGGATCGAACCCAGGGTCTCACACATGCTAGGTGAGCACTCTACTGCTGAGCCACAACCCCAGCGCAAGTCTTAATATTTATTATCTGTCCATTTAAGTTCATGCCTACTGGGCTGGGGATGTGGCTCAAGCAGTAGCGCGCTCTCCTGGCATGCGTGTGGCCCGGGTTCGATCCTCAGCACCACATACAAACAAAGATGTTGTGTCCGCCGAAAACTAAAAAATAAATATTTAAAAAAAAAAAAAGTTCATGCCTACTACAATCTTCTTTACTCGAAACTTTATCTTCTCAGGCCTATATTAATGCAAGTCTCATTATTTGGACTACTGACCCACAAAACCAACTGATAAAAAAACTATTATACTAATGAATACACAGTGGCTGGTTAGGGGCATGCTCTTTCATTTAATACCATATTAAACTGGGTAAGAAGAAACTCTCTCTTTTGACCATCTATGAAGTACAGGTTTTGCTAATCTCACATTTCACCCCACATATACCCATATGACAAGGTGCACCTATAATTCCAGCTACTTAAGTGGCTGAGGTAGGAGGATTACAAGTTTAAGGTCAGCCTCTGCAAAGTAGCAAGACCCTGTTGCAAAGTAAAACATAAAAAGGGCTGGGGACATAGCTCAATGGTAGAGCACCCCTGTGCTCAATCCTAGTACCAAAAAAATTCCAGCTGTTAGAATAAATGATTTAGTTGTTTTTAGTCTTTGGTTTCATGTTACTGAGGTCAACAGGTATTTAACAAATGGGGTGGGATGCTGACTTCAACAATTTTTCTTAAACTGCTTTAAGATGCTTCAAATATAATCTCGAGGAATATATACATATACACTAGAATTACTTAAGAAGACAGTTGTGGAAATCAGGGAAGCCACAATTTATAACAAATTCCTTAAATTTTAATCTGATATTAAACGTTCTCTGATCATGTCATGTACTCAAATATATTTTTATAAGACGGAGCAAAATTTATTATTTGTCAAATTTCACATGTATACCTAATAAAACACAAGTAATTAAATTCTAAAAGTTCTTACGTAGTAGTTGTAGATCAGTGATAAAGTGCTTGCTTAACATGCACAATGCCCTAAGTCTAGTACCTAACACTGCAAACAAGACAACAAAATTACTACTAAAAAATTACTACTTGGGGCTGGGACTGTGGCTCAGTGGTAGAGTGCTTGCCTAACACGTGCGAGGCCCTGGGTTCGATCCATAGCACCACATAAGAATAAATAAATAAAATAAAGATATTGTGTCCAGTTACAACTAAAAAATAAATATTTTTTTTAAAATTACTACTATTAGAAACAAGGCAATATGATTTCAGTTTAGACCCTTCAAGCTAATGACAGTATTTCAAATGAATTATTCTGATTTCTTGTTTTGGTACAGGGGATTGAACCCAGAGACGTTTTACCACTGAGCAATTCCCCTATTTCTTTTTATTTTTATTGTGAGATGGGCTCTCTCTAAAGTGCCCAGGCTTTCCTTGAACTTGAAAATCCTCCAATCTCAACAGCTGGGACTACAAGTGTGTACCACTGTACCAGACTCTTTAAATAGTTTTTAAAGGTCCCACTCTTTTTTATAAAAAAAAAAAAAAAGTCTCAAGTTATGGAAGTTCCTTTGGTTTTGGTTTTTTCTTTGGCAGTACTGAGAATTGAACCCAGCAACACTCTACCACTGAGCTGCATTGCTAGCCCTTTTGTTGTTGTGAGACAGAGTCTTGCCGAGTTGCACAGATTGGCCTCAAACTTGAAACCCTCCTGCCTCAGCCTCCTCACTCTAAATATATGAAAACTATATAAATAAAATGCATTTCTTACAGAGAGAGCTGCATTTGAGGGAAGTCAGTTGAAGTACCCTGATGCATAAAATCTCCAGCCCACTTAGAAAATGAAGGAAGATACTCCTCTACTTCTTGTTTTACTTCATCTGGATTCAGATTCAAGCGGTACCTGCCAAAAATAAGAGACAATAAATACAAAACCATAGATCTAAGAAATGCAAATTAAATAAGGTCCAAAACATCCAAAAAGGTAATTCACATGTCCATTTGCTAATGAACAGATAAACAAAATGTGGTATATACACACACACACCGAAATACTGTTCACCTTTGAAAAGGAAGAAAGGTGAGGAGCTAGGGATACAGTCAGTGGAAATGCGGATGGTCAGCATGAACAAGGGCCTAGGTTCAACCCCCAGGACCAAAAAGAAAGCGGGGGAGGATTCTGACACCACAGTGTGGATAAACTTTGATGACATTATACTAAGTGAAATGTCAGTCACAAAAGGACAAATATGAATGTTTCCACTAATAAGAGAAACTAGAGTTGTCAAAATCATAGAGACAAAAAAGTAGAACAGGGGCTGGGGTTGTGGCTCAGTGGTAGAGGGCTCGCCTAGCACGCAGGGGGTGCTAGATTCCATCCTCAGCAATAAAATAAAGGTATTGTGTCCAACTACAACTAAAAAACAAAATATTAAAAAAAAAAAAAAAAGTAGAACAGTAGTTCTGAAAGGAAGGAAGAATGGGGTTGTTGCTTAGTGGGTACAGAGATTCAGTTTGGGAAGAAAGAGTTTATGGAAATGAATGGTGGTGATCTCTGCACAACACTTTGCATGTACTAAATACCTCTGAACTGTATATATATTTTTTTAATTTTTGTTTTAGTTGTAGATTGACACAATCTTTATTTTATTTATTTTACCACTGAGCAACTACCCCAGCCCCTGAACTATATATTTAAAAATAGTTATTATGGTAATTTTTATGTTATATGTATCTACCACGTTTGAAAAAACCCAAATAACAGTGACATGACATCTAATTTCACAGTATTTTCTCTAATTCAACAATCTCGGTTTAACTAGAGGGATCAGTCCCAATAATATCTTTGGGATAAGAAAGAAATTATAACTTTAGTTTTAAAAGATACTGGTCCAGAAACCAAGTAATGAAAAACAGAAACATGCTGGGGTTGTAGCTCAGTGGTAGAGCACTTGCCTAACACGTGTGAGGCATTGGGTTCAATCCTAAGTACCACATAAAAATAAATAAATAAAATAAAGATTTGTGTCCATCTACAACTAAAAAAAAAATATATATATATATATATAGAAAAATAGAAACATTAAAGAAGGAAAAGATCATATGAAAAGAAAGCTAATATAAGCCTCACTACATCAAAGGGCAATCTAGGTTGGGCACAGTGGCACATGCCTGTAATCCCAGGTACTCAGGAATCTGAAGCAGGAGGATAATGAGTTCAAGGCCAGCCTTATTTAGAACCTGTCTTTAAGTTAAATTAAATATAAAATAAATAGGTTGGGTGATAGCTCAGGGTAGAGCACTTGCCTGGCATGCAAGTGGCCTTCCCCAGCACCAAAAAACAAAAAAATACAAAATTTCAGGTAGCAATTTTATTAAGGGAGCAGCCAGATCATACGTTTGTAATCCCAGTGACTCAGGAGGCAAATGCAGGAGGATCACAAGTTTGAAGCTACCCTGGGAAGCTTGGAAAGACCCTGTCTCAAAATAAAAAATAAATTAGGGCTGGGGATGTAGCTCAGTGGTAGAACACCTCTGGGTTCAATCCCTAGTACTGGAAAAAAAAAAAGGAGGGCTGGGGTTGTAGCTCAGTGGTAGAGCGTTTGCCCTGCACGCATGAGGCCCTGAGTTTGATCCTCAGCACCACATAAAAAATTAAATAAAGGTTTTGTGTACATCTACAACTAAAAAATGTTTTTAAAAAAGGAAAGGAAATTCTCTTCATGGAGGAATAAGTTCAAAGATCTACTGTGTGAAATAGTGACTAAAACTAATAGCAAAGCGTTTTATTTTGAAATACTTGAATAGATTTTAAGTGTTCTTACCATAAAAAATAATAAAAATGTGGGTCTGGGCAGGCAGCTATTGGTTGAGTACATGCTTAGTATGTAAAAGGCCCTAAATTCAATATCTAGCATAGAAAAACAAATCAATCAAAATTTACAACAAATGAATTCAGAGATTAGGTTATAGAGAATACTATAGATTCTTGCCTCCTTTCCTTCCTGAGTTATTCAATCTAGGGGAAGCAGTTGCCATTTTGTGAAAACATATAAGTAGCCTATGGAGAGGAACTAAGGCTTCCTAGCCAGAAGGCATGCAAGTGCGACGTCATCTTCCAATCCTAGTCAAGTCCCAAGATGACAAGCCCACATGGGAGACTGAGCCTAACCACAAAGCTAAGTCACTGCCAAATTTCTGAACTATAAAATCTCTGGGATAACAAATGTTTGTAATTTTAAGTCAAGTGCACCAGCCAGCCCATGCCTATAATCCCAGCTACTCATGAAGCTGAGACAGGAGTATCACTAGAGCCCTGGAGTTTAGGGCCAGTCTAGGCAACATGGACCAGACCCTGTCTATTACCCCACTCACTTGACCACCAAGCTATACCCCTAGCCCCTTATTATGTCGAGACAGGGTCTCACTAACTTGCTGAAACTAGCCTGCAACTTGCCATCTGCCTACTTCTAGGATTATAGGCATGCATCACAATGCTGCGCAAGGCCCTGTATCTCAAATTAAATAAATGAACAAACATTATTATATATTTATATTTTCCCCTCCTTGCAGTGGTAGGGATCAAACCCAGGGACTGACACATGCTAGGCAAGCACTTTATCACCAAGCTACACCAGGCAACATTTGTCATTTTAAGTCACTATAATAACAAACATCTTTTTTTGGTACTGGGGATTAAACCCAGGGGTTCTTTACCATTGAGGTACATCCCTAGCCCTTTCAATTTTTAATTTTAAGACAGGGTTTCACTTAGTTGCTTAGGGCCTTGCTAAGTTGCTGAGGCTGGCCTCAAACATGTAATCCTCCTACCTTAACCTCCAAAGTTCCTAGGATTACAGGTATGCACCACTATGCCCAGTAAGTCACTAAGTTTTGACAAATTTATTTCATGGAAACAGATGATCAATATAATAATATGTCACCATGCGCAGCAGCCCAGGGTGTGACAAGAAAGTCAGAAATTTGCAATGTATAATGACAAATAAGGAGCTAAGTGAAACTTCATTAATTTAGTCAAAATCTTATTAAATCTATCCATATTCCTTTTTTTAGAGGAATACCAGTGATTGAACCCAGGAGCAGAGGGGCACTTAACCACTAAACCAAATCCCCATCCCTTTTTATTTATTTTGACACAGGGTCTCTGACAGCGGCTAATGAATCAGTTGTACACATGTACCAAACATTAGAAATTATGAGCCTCGGGGCTGGGGATGTGGCTTAAGCGGTAGTGCGCCTCGCCTGGCATGCGTGTGGCCCAGGTTCAATCCTCAGCACCGCATACAAACAAAGATGTTGTGTCTGCTGAAAACTAAAAAATAAACATTAAAAAAATTCTCTCACTCTCTCTTTAAAAAAAAAAAAAAAGAAATTATGAGCCTAATACTTCCTGTTGTACAACTTTGAGAACTCTTCCAACTTGCAACAAGGTACCGCTACAGGAGTCTACATTTTAGGTTACATTAATTCATTCAAATAGTCTAATTACCAAAACCTAGATTGTAGGAAAGAAGCTATATATAATATAAAGTTGTACCTGCAGTTCTTCTCACAATTACTTACATTTCTTTCAAATGCTTTATTTCCTGAACAATTTGACAAGAAAGTTCTTGCAGCTTTTCAGGGGTGAAGCTCTTACTACTTATCGCTTTTTGAAACACTTCATGGAGAACGGTACCAATCAGCATTTGGCGTGTGGCTGGATTAGAGCTCTATGATTAGAATTACAATTTAGTCCATACATTAAGAGACAAGACTGTATATTGTATAGCCACCATAGCCAAAATGTACCACCAAGACAAATACCAAAAGATTATTAAACAATATTTTTCTGGTTCATGAAAGTATAAGCAACACTTCCTTCTAGTCAGAATTATCAATTATTGTATAAGTCTGAGTTACTCTAAAATATTTCCATTTAAAAAATAATAAAATTGGGCTGGGGATGTGGCTCAAGTGGTAGCGCGCTCGCCTGGCATGCAAGCGGCCCGGGTTCGATCCTCAGCACCACATACAAACAAAGATGTTGTGATCGCTGAAAACTAAAAAATAAATATTAAAAAAAAAATAGATATAAAAAAAGCTCAATATATGGGCTGAGGCTGTAGCTCAGTGGCAGAGTGCTTGCCTTGTACATGTGAGGCACTGGGTTCAATCCTCAGCACCACATAAAAATAAACAAAATAAAGACATGCTGTCATCTACAACTATAAAAAAAATTAAAAAAAAAAAAAGCTCAACATATTTTCAAACATTTAATGTTTTATAAGTATTCTCGAATTTCACTTTATAATCCACTCAAATAGAAAACTAAATAAAAGCATAGCTCATAAATGGGCGCACATAAAAGATACTATTCATGGGCTGGGGTTGCTCAGAGGTAGAGCACTCACCTAGCAAGTTGGAGGCCCTGGGTTCAATCCTCAGCACCACATAAAAATAAATAAATAAAATAAAAGTATTGTATCCAACTATAACTAAAAAGTAAATATTAAAAAAAAAAAATACAATTCAACTAAAATTTAAACCTTTGATAAGAGACAGTTTCGGGGGCTGGGATTGTGGCTCAGCGGTAGAGTGCTCGCCTAGCACAAGCGGGACCCGGATTCAATCCTCAGCACCACATAAAAATAAAGGCATTGTGTTGTGTCCATCTACACCTAAAAAATAAATATAAAAAAAAAAAAATAGAGACAGTTTCGAAGAAAAGTTATTTCAAGGGCTGGGGTTGTGGCTTAGTGGTAGAGCACTTGCCTACCATGCGTGAGACCCTGGGTTTGATCCTCAGCACCACATAAAAATAAATAAAAACAAAGGCATTGTGTCCATCTACAACTAAAAATATTTTTTAAAAAAAGTATTTCAAAAAGAAACAATATTTTATTTCTCAATATACTCTTTTATAAGGCTCAACCTTTCCCTTGAAGCTATCAGAAAAACAAAGATAAGGCCACCAAGATATCCGCCAGAAATTTAATAAATTAAATTATAAGAGAACACTCCATACTATTTTTGCAAGTTCTGGGTTATAATTATCATTACTATTGTAGTGCTGGGGATTGAACCCAGGGGCATGCTACCATTGAGCCACATTCCCAGCCCTTTTTTAAAAATATTTTATTTAGAGACAGGGTCTTGCTAAGTTGCTTAGGGCCTCTCTAAGTTGCTGAGACTGGCTTCAAACTTACAATCCTCCTGCCTCCCCAGCCTCCCATATGCTACTGCAACCAGCTCAGCAAATTTATTTCAAAATAAAAACCTTTAAAAAAACTGATATTCAGGCTGGGTATGGTGGCACAAGCCTGTAATACCAGCAGTTTGGGAGGCTGAAAAAGGAGGACAGTGAATTCAAAGCAGCCTCAGCAACTACGAGGCACTAAGCGACTCAGAGAGACCCTGTCTCTAAATAAAATATAAAAAAGGCTGGGGATGTGGCTCAGTGGTTAAGTGCACCTGAGTTCAATCCATGGTACCAAAAAATAGTTCTCTATAAACTCTAAGATTCTGTGTAAACATCAGTTGTTAATACTATTTACCCTAAAAGTTTCACTTAGTACAGCTCTTCTCATACATCGAATACTACTGGCTATGCTTGTGCCAGAAATCAGCATGTCTGGATACAGAATCAGATATCCAAAATCTTCATCAATTATCCATGTGCCAGATTTGCAGTCTCCTTCCAAATGAATGATATCCCCTGGCTCTACTGGTACAGAACACCTAAAAGTAAAGGAAAGTTAAGTAGGTTCCTGCATTTAAACATATTGAGGAGACTTCAAAAAATTAATAAGCGCCGGATACAGTAGCGCACACTTGTAATCCCAGCAATTTGGGAGGCTGAAAAAAGAGGATTACAAGTTCAAGGTAAGCTTCAGCAACACAGAGAAGTTCTAAGCAACTTAGTGAGATCCTGTCTCAAAATTAAAAATAAAAAAGGGCTAGAAATGTGGCTCAGTAGTAGAGCAACCCTGGGCACCCCTATCCTCAGTAACAAAAAAGCAAAACAAACAAACAAACAAAAAAAAACCCACTATTTCAAAAGAATACTTTTTAGCAAGGTGCAGTGTGGTGCAAGCAAGTAATCCCAGTTACTCGGGAGGCCAAGGCAGGAGGGTTACAAGTTTCAAGGCCAGCAAGGGCAATTTAGCAAGACCCTCTCTCAAAATAAAAAATAAAAAGGGGGCTGGGGCTGGGACTCAGTGGTAGCACATTTGCAGGGCATGTGTGAGGCACTGGGTTCGATTCTCAGCACCACATATAAATACATAATAAACAAATAAATAAAGGTCTATCAACAACTTTTTTAAAATAAATAAATAAAAATAAATAATTAAAAAGGGCGAGTGTGTCTCTATGGGTAGAATGCATTAAGTTCAATCCTCAGTAACACTGACCACCCCCCTAAAAAAGGGAAAACAAAATAACAATACACACACACACACACACACACACACATTTCATCTGAATAAGTAATTCTAAATTTCTGGGTATCTTTAAAAATCTGAACATCAGGACACAGTCTTCTGGATAAATTCCTAGTCACTCTACCCCTTCCCATAACACATAGCAGAGTGGGGGTGCTGGGGTTGTGGCTCAGTGGCAGAGCACTTGCCTCGCATGTGTGAGCACCACATAAAAATAAATAAACAAAATAAAGATACTGTGTCCATGTATAACTAAAAAAAAAAAAAAATTAATAAAGCATTCTAAAAAAAAAAAAAAAAAAAAAACAGAATAATCAAGGGCTTCCCTTACATCCCAAAGAAGAACTCCAGGCATGGTGACACATACCTGTAATCCCAACAACTACAGAGGCTGAGACAGGACAATCTCAAGTTTGAGGCTAACCTCAGAAATTTATCAAGGCCCTAAGCAACTTAGCAAGGCCATATTTCAAAATTTTAAAAATGTCTGGGGATGTGGCTCAGAGATAAGGTCCCTCTGGGTTCAACCCCCAGTATCAAATAAAAACAACTGCTTAGTCTACTGCAAAAGCTATCAAATATTTACTAGTGTAATATATAGCTCTAATTATTAATTGGGTTTTTTAAATAATTAATCTTCTCATTCTTAAGACTTTCAGTATGTCTATAGCTTCTAAAGGCTTTAGACAAAGAGCCAAAGTTAGAATAAACACTCCCAAATCTGAGAAAATCCAAAATTCAAAACACTTTTTTAATCCCAAGCATATGGATAAGGGACACTTGACCTGATCATGATTTTGAAATGACAATAAAAATCAACTTTTGGAACAAGAGACTTGACATACCTGGGTAAGAGAAACAACTTTCATGTAGAATTAAGTCAGTTTCAAATCTACTCCCTTGTTAACAATTACATTATAGCAACATTCACAAAAGCATTTGATAGTGCTGGAGATATAGTTCAGTGGTAGGGCACTTGTCTAGCATGCATAATGCTCTGGGTTCAGTCCCCAACATTGAAAAAATATATATATATATGGTACCCTTAAGACTCTGCCAAATCAGTGCTCAAAGTCAAACAAAAATTACCAGTCACTTCTAAGGATGCACTGTTCTTTATAGTCTAGGGACTGGGAAGCAGTGATGATTAGGTGTTTTTCATAGTTTCCTTCTTTATTCTGTACTGTACTGACTGCTAACACCAGGTAGCGGTTATCCATTCCATGGCTCAGAATTGTCTTAGGAAAGGAAGCTTCCTTCTTCTTCTGAAATCTAAAGCATACACATATAAAACTATATTAGCACAACCATGACATAAGAAAACATTCAATTTGTTTTATCTGGAAGTCAATCTTTTAGTTTTCTAGGTTTATTTCTTCTGGAGAGCGAATCACAATGACCTTTAGTTAAAATAGTTAAAACTGAGCAAAGCATACTGGAAAAATTCCTATTATAAAAGCTTCCCAGAAGCTATGCCTTTTAAAACATGCTTATAGGGGCTGAGTGTGCAGCTCAGTAACAACAATGCTTGCCTAGCATGCATGAGGCACTGGGTTTGAACCTCAGTACCACAAAAAAATCAATAAGTAAATTTTTAAAAAGTGTTTATGATATGGCCTTTCCCAATTTAACCTCTGAGTTTTGTGGTACACCCATCACTATGAGGATCAAGAATAAATTTGGAGGGCTGGAGTTGTGGCTCATTGGTGGAGCGCTTGCCTGGCATGTGTGAGGCACTGGGTTCAATCCTCAGCACCACATAAAAATAAATAAATAAATAAATAAAGGTATTGTGTCCCTCTACAATTTAAAAATATTTTTAAAAAGAATAAACTGGGGGCTGGGGAGGTGGCTCAAGCGGTAGCGCGCTCTCCTGGCATGCGTGCGGCCAGGGTTCGATCCTCAGCACCACATACAAATAAAGATGTTGTGTCCGCCGAAAACTAAAATAAATAAATAAATAAATATTAAAATTCTCTGTCTCTTTTAAAAAAAAAGAATAAACTGCAGCATGGTCGTGCAGATTTGTAATCCCAGCTGCTCAGGCGGCTGGGGCTGGGGGATCACAATTTTGTTCAAAGCCAGCCTCAGCAATACAGTGAGACCCGGTCTCCAAATAAAATCCAAATTGGGGGCTGGAATGTGGGTAATGGTGAGGCCCCTGAGTTCAATCTCTGGTACCCATCCCCCACCAAAAAAAAAAAGAATAATCTGGGTGGCACCACTACTAGTCCCAGTTACTCCCAGGCTGAGATAAGAGGACTCCTTGGGCCCAGGAGTTCCTGGCAGCCTGAGCAAAACAGTGAGACTCCACCTCTTAATACCTGAGTAGCTCATTCCTTTATAGAGTAACTCATAAGTTTATTTGTATTTATAATGAGAAAGTTCATTTCATAATAACTTTACCCTTGGTCCAAGCTACCTGAAATCATGGACAATAACCTCTTTGGAAAAGGACCTTCTCCTCATAAGTCTTTTCTGTCAGACTGCAGGAGTTCAAAGTCATTCTCTCTTTCAGTTACACCAAATGTCTTTCATGATACTGTATCTTTGTCACCCAGACTGTACACTCTATCATTTTGTTTACTCAACTCCCCCATCTAGCTCAGACTAATTAACATCCAAAGTGGGATGCAAAGCCTAAAAGATCTCTCAAAAGGTACTGGTGAGCCAGGCTTGGTGGCGCAGGCCTGTAATTCCAGCGACTCAGGAGGCTGAGACAGGAGGATCACAAATTCAAGGTTAGCTTCAGCAACTTTGCGAGGCCCTAAGCAAATTAAAGAGACCCTGTCTTAAAACAAAAAATAAAGGGAAGGAGGACTTGGGATTTAGTTCAGTGTCCCTGGCTTAAACCCAAATTAAAAAAAAAAAAAAGTAATGCTGATCAAAACCCCTAACGCAAATCTCTCTCAATAATTTATCTTTTTATTGCTATTACTATTTAAAATAATTCCCTTTCATGATCGTGAAGTTTCCCCGACCAGAGAGTTGGGGATGCAGACTCCTTCCCGAGATAAATTCCTCCAACTCAACATCAAACACTTTTAAGTTTCCTTTTAGGAAGGCATTTCAGGTGCCCGAGACTCCCCAAATTCGGGAAAGAGGTGAACTCAAGGGAAAGAATGACTGCAGGGCGCCAGTCCTCAGACAATGGCCAAATGTGGCTCTCCCAAAAGCCCTGCGCAGCGGTCCCCAGCTCCGGAGCCTCGCCAGCTCCAGCGGAGATGAACCAGGCCTCTCGGTCCCAGCCCGCAGACAGTCGGCAGCAGGCTCAGCCGGCGGAGGCATAGATGTGGCCTCTCCCGCGTCGTTCTTTTAAATCTCCCGCTAAATTCCCACCCCCGCCCCGCTCCGCTCACAGCTCCTCTGGCGCCGCAGCCTCCTCTCCGAAACTCTTCTCCATCAGCAGCTCCAGTTCATTTAGCTGCTCCATCCTCGGTACCGCAAACCGCCACAAGGTAAAGCCCTGGGAACCAGAAGCCACCCTTAAATCTCCGAAGATATAAAGAAGCGCGAATCTGCGCGGCACCACGCGCATGCGCCGACCCGCCGAGGTCCCAAGTGACCTGCGCGGGGCCGCCCCTCGCGCGCCCGGGGATTTCAAAGTGGAGTGCCTCAAATGGCGGACTCAGGCCTCTTGCATCTTTGCTCCCTAACTTCAGGCTTGGAAAAGTGTAAATCCTCATATCCGGTCAAGACTAAGTACCCTGACCACGCTCTTGACACCCCAAGCCATGCCCAACTCTTGCTTTTCGTTTGAACAGAACCATTTAGAAATGGCCAAATCCAGGTGTCCCTGTTGGCTTTGGGAATTTTGCATTCATGGAGAAACAACTTCTCCTTTTTCAAATGAAAAATTCAGAGAAAAATAGAAGCAACCAGATAGGAACTGACTTATCACGCCAAGACTGAATCCAAAAAACTGCTAATATCTGCCCGCTCATAACCTCTTTCCACGTTTAATTAAAGTGTTCCTCCTGTCAATGGGCAATCATTTCACTTGAACTCAGAACCTCAAGGCCTCCAGCATTTTGAAGGATGCTATTTCATCAATTGTTTCCTCATTCTCTTTTACCATCAATCTCACCCTCGCTATTGGTTTGCTGCCATACTGTACTAACGGCCCATATATATCCTTTTTGGGGGAGTGGGGGGTGCTGGAGAATTAATCCAGGGGCGCTTAACCACTGAGCCACATCCACAGTCCTTTTTTTGTGTTTTATTTAGAAACAGGGTCTCACTGAGTTACTTAGGGCCTCACTAAATTGCTGCGGCTGGCTTTGAACTCTCAATCCTCCTGTCTCAGCCTCCCACACTGCGGGGATTACAGGCGGGAGCCACCACGCCCCCGCGGTATTCTCCCATCTTAAAAAGCTGCTAACCTTGGCCAGGCACACACCTGTAATCCCAGCAATTTAGGAGGTTGAGGCAGGAGAATTTCAAGTTCCAGGCCAGCCTCAGCAATTTAGCAAGTTTGTCTCAAAATAAAAATAAAAAAAAAGACTGGAGATATGGTTCAGTGGTAGAGCCTCCTGTTTCAATCCCTAGAGCCAGAAAGAAAAAGAAAAAATAAAAAACAAATGTCTTCAGCTGGAGAGCTTAGCTCAGTGGTAGAACACAAACTTAGAACATGCTGAGGCCTTGGTTCCCAAGCACAATCCCTCCAATTTATAGTCATTAACTGTAGTCACTATGCTGGAAATATAAAGGTACTGGTTCCTTCCAGTCTTGCCTCCCTGAAATTCATTCTTTTTCCTCAATAGATTATAATGAAAATTCTAAAAGGTACAGAAAAGTTATAATTTTATAATAAACAGCCATATACAATTATTATTTTTTCTGTCTTTGATTTGTCACATGCATGTCTATTCATTCATCTCTCTATATCCATGAATTCAAGTTTAATGCATTTCAAAAGTGCAAACAACATTACATTTCATACCTGAATACTTTAGTGTACTTGTGAACTAAAGTTCAATGTTTGTTTATAGCTCTCTTTTTTTTATGATGCTGGGATTGTGCATTTGAGGCAAGCTCTCTACCAACTGAGCTATATCCCTTCTTATGCTTTTTATGTAAATTTTAAACTTTATATAAAATACACAAATCTCATATGCAGCATTTGATGAATTTTGACAAATACAAGTGTATAACTCAAATAGATAAGTGGTTCTCCTGTCTATACATCTCAAATTGCCATATCTTTATTAAGATATGTTATTATCATCCCAAAAAAGTTCCCTCATGCCAGTTCCCATGCCTATCCCTATGAAGAGGCAATCATTAAACTTATTATTATTCACCAGAAGTTAAATCTGTCTATTCTAAAACTTCACATAAATGCAAGCACACCCTATGTACAGTATATACAATTCTGTCTCAGGCTTCTCAGCATGTTTTTGCAGTTCATCCATATTTTTAAAAATGAATCAGCAGCTTAATTCTTTTTATTGTTGAATTCAATAAATATACCACAATTTACTTGGTCAATATCCTGTAGGTGGACACTAGCACTATAGTATTTTACCAAGTTGAATAAAGTTGCTACTAATATTCCTATATAAGTTTTTATGGCCATAAACTCCTATTTCTCTTGGATGAATATCTTGGAGTGAAATTTGTAGATCATGAATAAGTTTATAGTTATGATAATGAGAAACTGCTAGACTTTAACCAAAGTGATTATAACATTTTATATTACGAACAACGTATGAGAATCAGTTTCGCCACGTCCCATACAACATTTGATACTGTCAATCTTTTTAGTTTTAATTTACATTTCCCAATCACTAATCAGGTACTTTATCATGTCCCTGGTCATTTGCATATCTTCCAGGCTAGCGCACTACTGCTTGAGCCACATCCCCAGCCCCTGCATATATTCCTTTGTAAACTACTCCTTTGTTTAAATCATTTGCTTTTTTTTTAAAAATTGAATTGCCCTTTTATTATTGAGTTGCAGGACTACTTTATAAATTATGGCTACAAGCCTTTCTCATATACATTTTGCAAATAATTTCTCTTAGTCTATTGTTTGCCTATTCAGAATTTTTCTTTTTCCTAGTACTGGTATTGAACCCAGGAATATTTTACCACTGAGATACACCCCAAGCTCTTTTTATTTTCAACTTTGAAACAGGATCTTGCTAAGTTGCTGAGAGCCTTGCTAAATTGCTAAGGCTGGCCTCCAATTTTCAATTCCCCTGCCTCAGCCTCCAGAGTAGGTAAGATTAGAGGTATACACCACCACACCTAGTTGCCTATTTATATTCTTAACAAGGTATTTAGGCATTTGTATGCTTTTTTGGGAGGGTGCTGAGGATTGAACCCAGGGTCTCTTGTATGTGCACTCTACCACTAGGACACACCCTCAGCCTCCTGTTTTATTTTTTCCTTATGTATTCTTATTTATCCATTTTTCTTCTATGCTTTTTGTTTTTTGTGACCTAAAACATTTTTGCCAAACCCTAAATAATAAGTTGTTGAAGTTGTTGTCTCTTTCTTTTTTTTAAGGGGGGGGGGGCGTGTAAGGGAGGGGAGCTGCTTATCTATTTTTTCTTTCTTTTTGGTGTATCTGCAATAGTATATGCTTTATTGCCAAATATTAATTCACTGTCAACTGTTTTCTTTTCTGCTTGAAGCTTTTTTATTTGTTTATACCTCCCAAATTACCAAGGACAGTGGCATATGCCTGTAATTACAGAAACTCAGGAGGCTGGGGCAAGAGGATCCCAAGTTTAAGTTCAGCCTGGGCTATATATCAAGACCCTGTCTCAAAATAAAAAATAAAAAGAACTGGAGGACAGGCGCAGTGTCACACGCCTGTAATCCCAGAGGCTGGAGAGCTGTGACAGGAGGATCACGAGTTCAAAGCCAGCTTCAGCAAACTGTGAGGCTGCTAAGCAACTCAACCCTGTCTCTAAATAAAATACAAAAAAGGGCTGGGGATGTGGTTCAGTGGTCAAGTGCCCCCGAGTTCAATCCCCGGTACCCCCCCACACTAAAAAAGAACCCTCCTGATTCAATTCTTAGTATATCCTCTGCCTCAAATACATCTCAGACTATTTTTTTTTCTTTTTTCTTATTATTTCATGGTACTGGGAATTTAACCCAGGGGTACTCTACCACTAAGCCACATCCCCAGCCCTTTTTTTTTTTTTAATTTTTCTTAATATTTATTTTTTAGTTCTTGGCGGACACAACATCTTTGTTTGTATGTGGTGCTGAGGATCCAACCAGGGCCGCACGCATGCCAGGCGAGTGGGCTACCGCTTGAGCCACACCCCCCAGCCCCCTTTTTCTTTTTTGAGACAGGATCTTGCTGAGTTACTTAGGGCCTCACTGAATTTCTGAGGCTGGCTTTGAACTTATGATCCTCTTGCTTCAGCCTCCCAAACTACTGGGATTACAAGCATGCACCACTGTGCTCAGCTCCTTCTTTGTTTCTCTTTTTTATTTTAAAGAAGGAAAAGTTTCTTTTGACTCAGAATTCCAGAGGCTTCAATTCTTGCGGCTGCTTTAGGTCTGGGGTGAGGCAGAATATCATGGCAGAAAGGAGGGGAGAAAGAAAGCTGCTCAGTTCATGGATTCTAAGAAACAGAGAAGGAGGGGGAGAAGCTGAGGACAAAATGTAGTCCCACAAGTATGCCCCCAGTGACCTACTTCCTCTAACTAGACCCCCACCTGCTATAATTTCCACCTCCTTCCAACATTGGATTCAAATTATTAATTCATCAAATGGGTTAACCCACTGATGAGGTTAGAGCCCTCATGATCCAATTCCCTCCCAACAGCTCTACCTCTGTCATTGCTGCATTCAGGACCACATCTTCAACACATGCATTTTGGGAGACATTCCAGATCCAACCTATAACATAGATGCTCTATGTAAAAATAAAATTTGGCTATAAAATAAGTTCAAAGGCACAGCAAAACTATGCAGGGATGATATATAAAGTTCAGAGGAATCTAGAATTTTTATCACAATATGTACCAAATTTACCTGACCACAAAATATTCTCTTCCCTTTATCTTTTTACCACATTATTGTCATTCTGTAGAACAAAATTTAAGGAGATTCTTTCTTTAAAATTTTAATATTTCCAATAGTTTTTAATATTTTAATTGTATTTTGATAAGTAGGCAATTTTGTTTGAAGGTTCCATGTTCTTATTTATTTATTTTGAGACTAGATGTGGTCTCTCCCTCCAACTCCTAGGCTCGAGAGCCCCACCCCCATCAGACTCCCAAGTAGTTGGGACTGCAGGTTCATACCAATGTGACCAGCAATTACTGCATCTATTTACGGATCATATTTTTTTTCTCCTTCATTCTGTTATTATGGGAAATTACACCATTGGTTTCTGAATGTTAAAAACTTTTGCGTTTCCAGAATAAACCCAAATTGGTAATGGCTTTTTATGTATCACTAGA